CACCTGAGGCTACACCTCCTGACTTTGATGCCATGGCGCCCGCATTCTCCAACAGGATGGTCCACGTCGAGACAATGAGGGACGAACTCAGACGTGACTGGCGAACAAGAGCGATAAGAACAGAACATCTCGAGCAGACAGCGAACTGGATCAGACCTTGGGCGATTCGTGCATCAGCAGGGCACTCCGTGTCCGTGAGTACCGTCATGGAACTCGACCCGTCAAAGTTCGCGTTGTCCTCATCAATGTCACTCTTGGGCCAGATCCGAGGTGCCTATCATGCCACCGAGATCTACAACCTGAACGCCATCGTCACAGAAGGCCTCAAGACCGGAAGCGACTTGATGGACTTGGGAAGAACATCAGGGAGACTGCACAGCTACTTTGGGATTTTTCCTCCATGGGATCCAAGAAACAAGCTCACCCGTCCCAGGTCGCGGACTGATCAAAGGACACCACTGGTGACTTTGTACGTCCCGATCGTCGATTTGACGAGAGAGGGAGGAAGAGTGACGGAAAATGGTGCAGTCATTTGCGAAAGAACTATTCCATTTCACATGGTGAAGGAGTTGTGGCTTTGCATTCCTGGCAGTGCTCCATATGGGGAGTTCGAAGAAATCGAGAAACTCCTTGACTACGAATTGGAAGACGAGATCTGCACGGAAGTCGCGGAACCGCTTACTCCAGCAGCTAGCGACATGCACTGCCATCGCACATGGGAAAGAATCTTGGAGTCACTTTGTGAACTTCCAAACGGTCCGCATGACGGAACAAAGGCAGGGATCGTCCACCAACTTTCCGAATATTTCGGAGTGGATTGGTCGCAGACCGACTGGAGCCAATACAATGCACTCTATGATGACGCGGCGGAATTCGTCATTCTACATTCACCTCCACCCCTCGAAGCAAGGACAAGCAGAGATCGAAACGTGAGATTCCGACTGCGCCCATGGTGCTTGAAGAACACACCGTCATGTTTGGCAAGGTGCACGTTCTGTTTCTCCATCTTTGTGTCCCGTGGAACATATCAACGCATATCAACGCGCGGAAGCCGATGCCGACGCTCCAATGGAAGTTCCTCATGAAGCCATTGCAAGTGCTCGCGAAGCAGCTGCAAATGCGATCGTCATTGAAGACGAACCAATGGAGGATGAACCACAACCGGAGGTTGACAACGACAACGACGTTGCCATGGGAGCCGACGATGCACAGACAATTGCTGAACCTGAAGGTGAACTGGATCTTGACATGGACATTGATGAACAAGCCGAGGGGGAAGCCACTGCAGAACATATTCAGGAAGTTCAATCTCGCGCTCCAGTGTTGATGTTCGACACGCAGTTCCACATTGACCCTGCGCAAGCTCATTACCAACAAGGGCTCATGGTAAATGTCTACCCCAATGCGGAACCGGCCAACATGACAGATCCACACTGCGACTATGCGAAGTACATGGCCTACATCATCGTGCTCTTGTTATACAAGAACTGGTCATCGTATTCTAAATGGCTTGAACTACCTGTGAAATCAGCTCTGGAAGCATTCAGTCGAGGGCAGCGCCACGATTCCTTAGGAAAGTGGACAGGCCTAACAGATGTGGATGCCCGAACAGGAGTACCACGAGAACTCAGTGATGACGAAGTTCTGCGACATGGCGTGGCGCGAGGAGATCAAGAAGACCCACATGGTGATCATGCCCTGAGTCGTTACCGCACGAATCAAATACTTTCCATTCTCGTTCGCGGAGCCATACAGCTTGGTTATCGACGACAGCATTTCCTGGTCAGCAATCACATCAGGGAGGGCACCGAAGTCGACACGAGCATGGTACATTCCAGTTGTGCCGCATTACTGTCGAAAATCGTGGGCAAAGTTACAGGATATCAACAATTCAGCACATTGTCTCCGCGCAGCCGGCATGCCCCACGCTACATCCTCAACATCGATCCGTTCGGCATTTGCCATACTATTCGGACCCAAAGATTGCACGTTACAACTCATCGCGATGATGGTCGATCTATGCATCCCTATTCAGCGCAGGTACACGACCAGGCTTACTCAAGCACGCGCACGAGGAACAGTAAACATTTACCAAGGCAATGCTCTACAACATCTTCCTGGCGGCAGCATGCTACCACCTGGACAGACAAGCATCCTCGACACGCCCCTCACTGCAGAAGAGGCGGCCGAGATCGCACCCAAGGCAAGGCCAAGGCCTTCGAACAGAGCGCCTGATCCTCAAGAGCGCAGACGTCGCAATCAACCGCGCTATTCAGAAAATTGGGATGACCAACGGTGGGATCATGACAGACGCAATTGGTGATCGTCTACCTGTCCCTTGCCATCACCGACGAGTACACGTATGAATGTGGACATGATTTCAATGCACCACTTTTCGTGCATATGCTTTCTTCGAGATGTGTTTCTTCTTCACTGAGGCAAAAGTTAAGGGATCGCACTCGACGCTCACATGTCTCACATCGACATAATTAAGGCTGATAAAACGCACTGATCAAACATGCGACGTTGAGCTTATTTCATGCGTCTCTCTTCCTGGGTGAGTTAAGCCTGAGGCCTCACTCATGGGGGGTGTGAAGAGACATCGAAGCATTGTACAATTTCAGTGTGAGCTATGGTGACACATGTAGACATCAACTCAGGATGGCTCAGCCGACTGAGTAAGACTGAAGCTTGTGAGAACACAGTTCAACAAGCGGATGTCTATGAAGCTCAATGATATCGGTGCATGGCTCAAGAAACTTGGCTCAAGCCAAACCAGTGATCTAGCACCTGTCGTCCTATCTGCTTATCATTGTCAGTGCGTGAAGCCTTCTTGCAATGACTGCAGCGTACTACGTCCGCAGCAGAGAAAAGTGAGGAGCGAGTGGATCGGCAAGGGTTATTCGTTACTACGTTGGAACCAAACATTCTACCTCAAGAACAAGCTCATCTGAGGGGAGCAAGGTCGTATACAGCAAAAGTGTATACCAAGCCCTCACGCA